GACATTTAATCAACTACCAAGCTTGCAAATTTTGTGTTTTGTCTGTTTGTTTTGTTCTGTTAGAAATGTAATACAATTGTCTGGTTGCCCCTGACACGATAAAGAAATAAATGCTACCCCTCTATTCTGCCTTGGTTACACCACACCTGGAATATTGTGTCCAATTCTGGGCACCACAATTCAAGAGAGATATTGACAAGCTGGAATGTGTCCAGAGGAGGGCGACTAAAATGATCAAGGGTTTGGAGAACAGGCCCTATGAGGAGCGGCTTAAAGAGCTGCTGAAGAAGAGAAGGCTGAGAGGAGATATGATAGCCATGTATAAATATGTGAGAGGAAGTCACAGGGATGAGGGAACAAGCTTGTTTTCAGCTTCCCTGGAAACTAGGACGTGGAACAATGGCTTCAAACCTTGTGGGTTTTTTCGGGCTATATGGCCATGTTCTAGAGGCATTTCTCCTGACGTTTCGCCTGCATCTATGGCAAGCATCCTCAGAGGTGAGGTCTGCTGGAGCTGGGAAAAAAGGGGTTTATATATCTGTGGAATGACCAGGGTGAGACAAAGGGCTTTTGTAAGTTGGGCTAGGTGTGAATCTTTCAACTGACCACCTTGATTAGCATACAATGGGCTGACTGTGCCTGGAGTAAACTCTTCTTGAAAGGTGATTAGATGTCCCTGCCTGTTTTTCTCTCTGCTGTTTTTGCTGTTGCAATTTTAGAATTTTTTAATAAAGCCTTCGACAATACAATGGCTTCAAACTACAAGAAAGATTCCATCTGAACATGAGGAAGAACTTCCTGACTGTGAGAGCTGTTCAGCAGTGGAACTCTCTGCCCCGGAGTGTGGTGGAGGCTCCTTCTTTGGGGGCTTTTAAACAGAGGCTGGATGACCATCCGTCAGGGGTGCTTTGAATGCAATATACCTGCTTCTTGGCAGGGGGTTGGACTGGATGGCCCATGAGGTCTCTTTCAACTCTATGATTCTGTGATTCTTTCTGGTGGTCTAGCTACCTTTGTTTCTAGACACATTGACTGTACACCTCTTCCAAGCTGCTCCCTTTACTTCAAGTAATTGATCTCCACTTTGGGAAAAGCTCTTACACCAGGAGTTAGGAATTATGGGAACTGATGTCCAAAACATCGGAAGGAGCAGAGATTGAGAAACACTAGCTTAGACTTACCACAAATCATTCATGACTTAAAGTCCCACAACAAGTGAAGACTGTCATTATCTCATCGTAAAGCACCAAGATAGAATCCTCCCTATCAGCAGATCTCGTCATGAGGAAGCTCAAAGCAGACTTATAGATTGCAGTGCCAGAGAGTCTGTTTAGAAACCAAGTTGTCCCACATTTCCAATTTTTATTTGTACTCCCTAAAGAGGTGCCCCTTTAAGGCATAGTTATGTGTGTTTCCCATTCCTGTGCTCAGGGGACTTTGCCCAATCATCAGCCTCTTCAGTTTGAAGAATCGGCCTTCCTGCTTTGCCGTCTTCTTCTGCAGAATGTTTTTATTTATGAGCAATTACTCTGTTTTTCTCAAAATGTAAACTACAGAGAGCAACAGTGTATTTTAGGGAAGGAGGAAGAGGTGAGTGGAGATAACTTGCTCGTTTAACACTATGTCTCAAAAATACCCTTTGAATTTGCTTGGCAATCCTACCCAAACTATTCACCATTTGTGCAAATCACTAAGAAATTACATGATGCAACAAAATTTGAAAAAGATTCTGTTCTTCAATTAACAGTGTTATTCCTGTTTAATTATGCAGCACTTACTTTGAAAGTAGTTGTTATACTCCAGAAGCTTTATTTTTGTGGCAGCCACAAACCATGTTAAACTGGTTGAGTCTCTATGGCAGCAGTTCTCAATCTGTGGGTCCCCAGATGTTTTGACCTTCAACTCCCAGAAATCCTAACAGCTGGTAAACTGGCTGGGATTTCTGGGAGTTGTAGGCCAAAACTCCTGGGGGACGCACAGGTTGAGAACCACTGCTATATGAGATATACATTGAAAAACTTTAGCAAAATGTTCTGCAGGATATCCCGCAAAAACAAAGTTTTTAAAAGTTTATTAAACTTTTTTTGCATTTTTAATGAGAGACCCAATTAGGAAATGACATTTATAATCCAAGAACAAAATCGTGTTACAAAGGCCCCTTCCACATAGCTGTGTAAAATCTACAATGAACTGGATTATATGGCAGTGAGGATTCAGATGATCCCGTTCAAAGCAGATATTGTGGGTTATCTGCCTTGATATTCTGGCCTTGATATTTTGTGTATCAAGGCCAATATATTGATAATAGCCAATATATTCTGACATCATGGCTGTGTGAAAGGGCCCATACTATATTGTTAAGTATCCATATTGGGCCAGATTAATGGAAGCAAATTGTGTCTTTTAACTTTACTGTGTTTTAACACTATCATGGTCGGGGGAGGGGGGAATCATCAACAGATTTGAAGAATTGTTTATGATAAAAATGGCTGTGTTGCTAGTCTTATCAAAATCAACGTTTTATTGCAGTATTGCAAGAGTTCATCATTTAATACCTATTCAGTATTCAAATCCAGATTCTTCTGTAATGGAGATATATAAAATTATGCAGGCTTGTACTTGAAATTTAAGTCTAACTATTTGCTGCCTTTGATGCATTTTGCAGTTTCTAAAATGTTTGTTCCACAGGAATGTGTTGTTCTTGTGTACCTTTATTCAATAGTGTATTTGCATGTGCATTGGGAGCATCAAAAAGTGAATTAGCATAGAGTTTTGACCTTATAGGTATATTGATACAGTATATGGAAGCTGAGTTTATGAAAATTGGTTGTGGTTGTATTTATCAGACAAGGATCGATCTATCTATCTATCTATCTCTATCTATCTATCTATCTATCTATCTATCTATCTATCTATCTATCTATCTATCTATCTAAATGTTTAAAATAACAAACTTCTGCTGGAACACTGCACAAAAACTATAGATACACACACAGGCTTCCCACCAGTGATGCTACTGCTAAATTCTACTGGTTTTAGTGTTGTCTCGCTTCTATAGTAAAGTTGTCGAACTCTTTGATGTTGGACTTGGTTGCTGTTTGAATATTTTTAGCAGTATGATACTTCTCGTGTGATCAGAATAATTTTGCTAATTCAAATCTAGTGGTTGAAATATAATCTATATATTATTGAGGTATTTGAAAACATTGTTTTGAAGCCTCAGTACAAAATAATCGCTAAATAACAATTTGTATTGTCAGGCAAAAACTAGGGATTTTTTCTTGATGTCTTTGTCATTTTATATTTGGTGGTGTATTAAGGGGTGTGCAGTTTTTTCATTAGTCATCAAATTTGTTGAATTTGTACTTGCGACGTGATAAGTCGACGAGGGGGTCTCTCGCCATTAGGAAAGGGAAGCAGCAGGGAAAAAGCAGAGTTTGCTGTGAAAGAGACAGAGAAATCACAGAATTCTGGGAAATGTAGTTTGGGAAGGCAAGGAGCCCTATGCCAGAGAATTCAAAAGGCCCTGCCCTAAACTATATTTCCCAGAATGCTGCTCCGCATCAAAAAGCTCCAGTCAGGAGAGGGAAGAGATTTTTCCCTCCGTAGCAGCAGCCAGTCAGAATTTCAATAAATTGTTGAATCTGCACAGAGGAGGACTGATTGATTCTTCTAGTAAGTAAATCTCTGTGCTGGGCTGTGAAGAAATGCTTAAATTGAAGTTCTGTTGCTTAATATGAGAGCATTTAATGAGCTAGCTGTTGTGGCTTAAAAAAACATTTTTGTCAAAAGTTTAAAAAAATTACTAAAATCAGTAGATGTATGAATATTTCTGAAAGTTGGGGAAAATGATTCCCTGTTACCTCATGTCATTGTATAAGAAAATTCAGGGAGATGGCTCTTGTAGTTTAAAAAAATGTTATTTATTAAACTGTTGAAAATTCCACAAAGATACATGTATAAATGAAATGTTCTAAAACTTAATGGGCTAACAGTGGTAAATGTATTCTACCATTGTAACAAGTTTCACCCCAATAGCTATAAAATGAGGGAGAAAGAATCCCCTGAATTTTCCCCACTTGCACAATTACTGTAACGAAAAAATAACAAAATTTCATTACTTTTGTAGTAACGAAATTTTTACTAATGATTCTTTAGAAACAAAACACCAGTTTTGTAATAACCATTGAAACATTTTTTGTTGATTGCACAGCCCTAGTTAGAACATTTAGTGTTGAAGGAGATGAGTGTTTAGAAGGAATGAAAGAAATATTGATGAAAGACATTTTAAATGTAAGTGTAGTTTAATTTTAAATAACGTATGCAATTCAATCTGCATGGATTTGCATTTTTTAAAAGAACAGCCTTGAATTCTGCTATTAAGTCTAATTAAAGTAAAGCCGCCTTGAGTTGCCTTCAGACTGGAGAAAGACGGGTTAGAAATATCGCAAATAAATAAAATAAAGTAGAAGCATTGAATCAGTGAGATTTACATTTGTGTTGACTCACCAGTTGGCTGTTGATTGAATGGGTCTACTCTATGTGGTCATAACTAACAAAATTTCACACAGACTGGGTCAGCAGGTTGTATAATTTCTTTGAGTGGAAAGAAGTTTATGTGATCCTTCCATCTATCTCTCCTTCCTAGCTTTTGAAACAATAAATATCCCCCTTTTAAAGTAGTTGTTTTCCCCCAGTACTAACCAATTTATCATAATCCAAATTTTTAGTCTTCATTGTGACATGGATTACCCTTTGATCTAAATTGGATTGTTTCCCAAACATTCCAACGAGGTGAAGGCAGAATGTTGTCTGAAAATAACACTTCGCCAAAAAATGTAATTGGTGAGTGAATATCCAGTCAACACATTAATTTTTCATCTCATTTGGGGGCTACATTTTATGTTAACATTTGCCATAGGGATGATTTTTAAATTAACAATAAAAAGGATGAATGGCCTGACTTTAGCCTCAAAGCAAATATTGACTCTGGTTTGTAGAAAGGTGGACTTTGGGCTCGAGGTGAACAACTGACATCCCTAACATGGAAGGAGAAGCATCGACTGGAGCTCCAAAACCCACCCAAGAATCCATAATTAAAGAAGAGGTATGTATTATTTTGGGGAAAGGGGGATGTTTTTCAAAACAGTTTATTATGTTCAAGTGGTGGTCGGCATATTAGCATATCCCTTAGTAACTCTCTGCAAATGAAATATTCCCATTGGCCCAAATATAAAAAGGCCAGCTTTATATGATTTTGCAAAACCATTTTTCTTTGCCTTGCATTATTGTTGTGTGCCTTGAGGTTGTTTTTGACTTACGGCATTCCTATGGTGATCCTATTGTGTGTTTTTTTTAATGGCCTCAGAGTGTGTGACACCCTGGTGTCACCCAGTGGGTTTCTATGGCTGAGCGGAGATTCTGCCCTAGTTTTTGTGTGGTTTTTCTTGGTCAGGGTGGGAGATTGGATAAAGGCAGTTCTTCTGTTCAGTTCATTAACTGTGTGGAAGTAATTCGATATTTTTGGGAAATTAAGCATAAGGATCGATGAAGTCCTGGCAGAAGCGTTTTACAATATATGTGTGCTATGGTATTACTTAAACTTGAATCAAGACATCAATCGCAAACAGAGTTAGGAATGTGCCCTCTGGAATGCAGTTAGTAAACAATGCATTCACTCTAAAACTAATGGAATTAAGGTATTCCAGATCATGTCAGAGTAAATACGTAAAAGAGGAACATCATAGCTTCCATCACCTCTAGCATTTCTGATATCTAGTGTGTATGGCAGAAACTTACAGAATCTGAAAGTGAATTTCTTCTACACATAAATAAAAAGGAAAAGGGAGAGAAGATTCTAGCAGCATCTTTTAAGACATTTATGTTTTAGAATTCATATTTTAGAATTCATGGATGCGATTGAATGCAATTTTCCTGCTTCTTAGCAAGGGGTTGGATCGAATGGCCCATGAGGTCTCTTCCAACTCTATGATTCTATGATATTAATCCATTTTCTCAGATGCACAGATAGAGACATGGAAAAGCTCCAGTATTCCAAATCTTGTAGTGAGCCTTCACAAGTAGAAAGTGCTGTTTTGTTCAAAAACTTGAGAAGATTTGGTTAAGCCTAAAGAATGGGTTGGGTAGGAATCACATGGGCCCCCAAGTGTTGCTGAATTGTAACTTGCAGCATTCTTCACCACTTGGAATCTGTCAATTCCTGGAAGGCCAAATGATCCTTGTAGGGATCTCCTACAAGATCTCCAAATGGCCATTAACACACTGTGTTTTTTACTATGGTCATTCTGGGTGAGGCTGGTAGAAGCTGTAGGTCATAACATCTGGAAGATCAAAACATCTGAAAACATCCTCCACCTTTTTGTTATAATATCCCACTCTCTTTTAATACTACTTAGAAAAGAGATTTATTTTATCAGATATGCTGGACAACGTGGAGCTACATTAGTAGGCAGTATTCCAGTATTTTTCAGAGGAGCTAGTTCATCATCTATAACAGTGTTTCTCAACCTGGGGGTCGGGAACCCTTAGGGGGTCATGAGAGGGTTTCAGGGGGGTCGCCGAAGACCATCAGAAAACACATACTTCTGATGGTCTTAGGAACCCTTTTGGCAGAGAAGGCTGAATATCTCTATGCCTGTCCTTCTCTTTCTTTTTGGTGTTGTGAATGACAACTCCCAAAATGCAGAAACAGTCCCCTCAACCCCACTAGTAATCAATGTTGGCCATGTAGGTAGTGTGTTGAGTTTGGTGCATATCCCTTATGGGCTGGGTTCAGAGTGCTCTTTGATTGTAGATTAACTATAAATCCCAACAACTTCAACTCCCAAATGTCAAGGTCTATTTTCCCCAAGCTCCACAGTGTTCACATTTGGGCATATTGGCCTTCTGTTCCATAGTTGGTGGAGTTGAGAATGCTCTTTGATTGTAGATTAACTATAAATCCCAGCAACTACAACTCCCAAATGACAAAACCATTTCCCCAACCTCACCAGTATTCAAATTTGGGCATATCATTTGTGCCAAATGTGGTCCAGTGAATGAAAATACATCCTGCATATCAGATATTTACATTACGATTCACAACAGTAGCAAAATTACAGTTTTGAAGTAGCAACAAAAATAATGTTATGGTTGGGGGTCACTAAAACATGAGGAACTGTATTCAGGGGTCCCAGCATTAGGAAGGTTGGGAAACACTGATCTATAATGTTGTTTAAGCATGTGTCTCACTTCCTCTCAGTTGGTGTTCTTGGCCATTTGGATGCATGTTGCACTTCCTGCCTTTTCTAGTATGTCCGATGGCCCACATTATTTCTAGTTTACCTGTCAGTTCCCTCAAATGAACCAGTTGTCCTTTGACTGTTCTGAGAAATCTTCTGTGACTAGTTGGGGTAATGATTTGCTATTGATGTCATAACACTGCGTGGGGGTCACAATCTAGTTCTAGTTCTTTATTCTGGCCATGTAACATTCCAAATATGTTGTTGCTCAATCTTCACTGGTATACTCTGATGTGGCAAACACTTATTTTTTAAAAAGAGCATCCATAGATACCTGGCGATGTTTAGGTTGGAAAATGTATATGCATCATATCTGGGTATGGCAGAAATGGAATCATAGAATCATAGAGTTGGAAGAGACCTCATGGGCCATCCAGTCCAACCCCCTGCCAAGAAGCAGGAATATTGCATTCAAAGCACCCCTGACAGATGGCCATCTAGCCTCTGTTTAAAAACCTCCACCACACTCTGGGGCAGAGAGTTCCATTGCTGAATGGCTCTCACAGTCAGGAAGTTCTTCCTCATGGAGTTTGATTGTTCTTCCTTAGTCGTTAAAAATAGCTTTTCTAAATCGATTTAAAACACATCCTAATTTCTTGGAGTCTTGATTCTGCTTTAGGTTTGCCCATCGCCTGTTTGCCTGAAGAAAATATTTAACAATATAAATATTGTAATTCAAAAACATTTCAATAACTAAAACAGCTCTTGCTTTTTTTCACTGCACTTCTAATGTGCCTCTCATTAGGACTTCTTACATATAGATGTACCCAAAGACACCGTACAATCTTATATATACCTACTTGGAAGCAGGCCCCACTATGATCAGTCAGATTTGCTCCCTAGCAAGAGTGCATGGGGTTAGGGCCTTAAAATCCCACTTCCTTCTTTTCCTCTCACACTGATTTCTGCTATTGCTACTTGCTGTGTTTTTGTTCTTTTTCTCTCTTTGTAGCTTGGATTTCTCTTCCTAAAGTCACAAATGATGCCTCTGGCTATGTGATCGTCTTCTGTTCTCTGGCCAGGTTTGCACTGTCAATCATAATACATGTATATGACATTCCCTGGGATCTCATTCAAGGTTCTGCTCTGTAGGGGCCATTAGGAAGCCACAGTAAGTAGGCATATAGCATACCAGTCTGGTGACTGATCACATTATATTTGGATCCAAAGTATAACCACTGTCACTATTTACAGAACTATACAGGAGTAGGGCCTTCCTGAAATAAACTACTGTGCAAATAAGGATTGTGGAGTGAAATTTTTTGCTCTAAAGTCCACCCAGATTAGGACACATGTTTTGTTTGGGGAGCAGCTACACTTTTCAGTGCCCATTTGAACTGGAAATCCTCTGCTGTGGGAGACAGGGTTTGCATCCTTTCCATTGAGCTTCCCCTGGCAGGCAAGGACTTTTCCATTCATGCAGGCCTTTGGCGCATAAGCTACTGTGCTGTAGAACAGAAAATATTCTTTTTGCTTTATATTGCATTATTGCCAGTCACCTTTGAGTGCCTTTTAGCAGAAAGCCAGGGTGCAAATTAGAGCAATATATAAATAAAGTTGACATAACAGAAGGGTTTATTTAGGGAAAACAACTTTCAGGAAAAGGACTAGTGTGTTGGACTCCCTTTTCCACCAGCTTTCCTGTCTATCAACAGCAAATGTACATATGGCTTGTTTCTTTCCTTCCGCCTCCTCCCAACTAACACTGATTCCAGCTATGTTTCCTACTGTGTTTCTCACTTTTATTCTTCTTTTTCAGTCTACTTCAGTTAGTTACAAATTAAGCTCTTCTGTTCTGGCAGAAATGTAAATGTCAGTCAGGCATGAATGAACAGATACGATGCATTTGCTTATAAAAGTTGAATCACGAAACAACTATATTAGTAATAATTAAGCATGGTAATATATATATATATATAATATTATAATGTAATACAATATAATACTACTACTACTAATATATTATAATTATATATTTATATTACAGGTAATATTACTAATAATATTACAGTATAATTGATATAGTACAATATTTAAAACTGATATTGCACTATGTTAATAATATATTGTATGTATATATACTTTGTTAGCCACTCTGAGTCCCCTTTGGGGTGAGAAGGGCAGCATATAAATGTCGTAAATAATAAATAAATAAATGGTAGTCCTTAGAGGTCTGCTGAGATTTAGGTATATGCATGGACAAACCATATCTTTTTCTCATATTTAGTCATAACTGTATCCCGTTCCTGCACTCTTTTTTTGATACTTAGATATTAGCATTCATATTCATGCAAAGTTTTTCTAATATAAGGTGTTCTACCAAATTTTCTGTAATAGTTTTCCCTAACTGCAGTTTAGTATGCAGATTTTTGTAACATGCATAGGTGAAGATCCTTTATCACATATAACCTCAGTGCATGGGCAAAAGTATGGCCCTCTGCACCCTGTCCAGAGAGGGACTTAGGCATACAGTATGTAAGATGCACTTACATTATGTATAAGCCACTAACAAGATGCCAGCCATTATCTCTGAGCTAAAACTACACCGAAAAAAGTCAGAGAAGTCCACAGTCTGAAGGATGGTTATGTTCTTGTCATATTTTGCTGTGGGGAGTTTAAATTGAGTTAGTTCATACACGAATGTATTACAAGTGAAGTTTCTTCCAATTCATTTAGGTCAAACAGATGGAGCATTTCAGTTTTGTCACCAAGTGAATTAAAATAATTTCATACTATTTCTTCTTGTTTGGAAGAAGAAAGCTCATTTTAGTGAGTCATTCTGTATCTAGTTCACATTGTACAAATATCTCACACTTTCCCTCTTTACTTGTCAGCAAGCAAAAGTTTAGTGCTGCCCATAAAAAACTGAGCTGTAAAACAAACTCCACTAGCGATAACCTTTTAACATGTTTGTTCTAAATGTTGTAAGTTCAGTCTCATACTTTCTTAAAGTCATGTTTGCAAAAATTCCTCTTTGAAATATTTTATTGAACACATGCACATTGTCTGTATATGTTTAAATAAAAAAAAACAAAAACAACAGACAAAAAACAAAAATAGCCAAAGGCTATTTTTAAACCTATAAACTAAAACTAACACTCGTACACATAAACTGCATGTCTCTATGATGACTATAACCTTTATCAGTGTACTTCCATTAAATGTAATTTTGGTTACACCTTTCCTTTAAACATTGGTGGGAACGAGAGGCAGGGCCTTCTCAGTGGTGGCCCCCCGGCTGTAGAATTCCCTCCCCAGCGACATCAAGCAGGCCCCATTTCTTCCGATTTTCAGAAAAAAGTCGAAGACATGGCTCTGTTCTCAAGCTTTTGAAGAATAAGCTATTACAGTTTCTACACAGTCTGAATAAGGATTATGAGCAAAGATTATGGATGAATGGCACCATAAACTTTATATGTTTTAATCTGTTATTATTCTATGTGTTTATTTGCTTGACTGTTTTAATTGTTTTAGTTGACGAGACATATATTATGATTATGTTTCAAACGGCATTAAATCTTGCCGGAGTTGTAAGCCGCCTTGAATCACCCTACAGGGATGAGAAAGGTGGGGTTAAAATGGAAGCAAATAATAAATAATAAATAACATTCATCTACTATCAAGCAAAACCTAAAATCAATAAGTTCCCCCATCTTTGTCTCACACAACACTTTTTTGCAGGCATTCTTTATTCAGAGCTTCAAGATATCACCCTTCTTCACAATTAGTTCTTCTTACAATTTGTGATGCAGAAATAGTTAGATATCTTCCCATTTGGGTGTGGGTGGTTGTTGCAACACTCACAATCTTCATCTTTCATAGCCAACTCATTGTCTAGTTTATGACCAAAATGTTGGACTAGGTAAGACTTCACAGTTTCTAAGTTTAAGTTCTTACTACCGATGGCTTCTGTTTTCCACACTGCCTACAGTAATGCTAATAGTAATGTGGGTGGGGTTTTTTTTGGGGGGGGGGGAATGCTTCTGTTCATGATCAGCATTTTACAGACATAGCTTTTGATCTTTAATTGATTTTTCTCTATTTAAAAGACAATTACTGAGAGAAAATGGGTGAAGCTCAATCAGACCACTTACCTTGATCCCACCGGTAAAACAAGGTAAGCCCTTATTTCGAATGCATCATTTCATGACCTATTAAAGAACCTGTTTTGTGAACCAGTAGATTTCAAACTGTATTCTGGGGAACTCTGGTGAACCCTTGGGCTCCAATGCATTTCTCAGGTCCAATCAATGGTAACTGATAGATTTTTTGCATATGCCTTCCCATTTTTTGCATATGCCAGCCCATTTTTCACTGCCGTACACAACCACAAGAGGTTGTGGGCTGTGTTCTAGGATATGATCTCAGTTTGTATAGGATGGTAGTGAAATACAATAGCTTGTGACTGCCAAAACAACTACTTACCAAAAGAGCTCAGTAGAAAAATGAAATATTTCCTAGCTATGCAAGCAGTTATTTCTATAGGCAAAAGGCTTGTGCATCTCTGTTTAAAAACATATTGTTCCTCATATTTTTCTTGCTTTTTGGGGGCCCTTCCAGACAGGCCCTATATCTGATCCCAGGTTTTCTGTTTATCCCAGGTTATCTGGCAGTGCGGACTCATATAATCCAGTTTAAAGCAGAAACCTAGGATCAGATCCTGGGATATAGATCCTGTCTGGAAAGACCCTGGGATTCTTTGAAATTAGAGAAGCTGGTGTGTAAGATGTATAATGGGCAGAGAAGAGGCCTTTTGTCTTGACTAATAAAGGCAAAACTGGGAAGTGGGAAGGGACTAAGTCCTACATGTTTGCCTAAATTTCATAATATATAAAGATTGTAAGATTTTGAATCTGCTGAATTTAGGTTGAAATTAGTATGTGATGTTTATTTCTTTACAATGCAGTCACTCTTGTGAGAGCTTTATACTTCTATAAAATACCTTTTGTTCTGAAGGAGAGATTATTTCAGAAAAGTCAGGAAGTGTTTCTCAGTTATGGAATGTATGCACTTCATCTAACATTTTTCTTCTTCCCATTTCCTCCATTTTGATAGAATATGGGAAACTGTGAAGCGTACTACCAGAAGAGAGGGCATCTCTGCTGATGGTAAGCTAATTGTTGGTTCATTAGCGTAAAAACCAACAAACAAATCTCAGTCACCAGTAAATATTAAATTTCCTAAATAAATTACTCTAAAAAAACCCAGGGTATACATTAGAAAGTTCTGCAACAAAACCGTCTGGAATGGTCTATGTACTTCAGTGTTTACTGTAACACGCACATTTCCTAATTACTTAAATGATTCAGATGATGATAGTATGTTTCCATTTCATATAATCATTACAAAGGTTAACAACACCTAGCAATAACATGTATCAGCACAGGACCCCTGTCTGTCAAGCTTTTCCCTTCATCAACTCTCCCTTGACAGACCGCAGCAAGAGAGGGAAGGCAAGTAGGATCTTTCCCATCTTCTCTGTTAGAAGTCTGCTAATGTTTTCCCCTCTTCTGTTGGAACCGATTCTGTTACTGCTGGTCATTTTTAGAACTTTTAACTTTAAGAACCTGAGTTTCCTTTCCTTTCCCCATCCCTTTTTCCTTTTGTGTTGTGCCTTCTAGACTTTAAGCCAGGGGTCCTCGAACTTTTTAAACAGAGGGCCAGGTCACAGTCCCTCAAACTATTGGAGGGCTGGATTATTATTTGAAAAAAACATGAATGAATTCCTATGCACACCACACATATCTTATTTGTAGTGCAAAAAACACTTTAAAACAACACAATAATTAAAATGAAGAACAGTTTTAACAAATATAAAATTATTAGTATTTCAATGGAAAGTGTGGGCCTACTTTTGGCTGATGAGATAGGATTGTTGTTGTTGTTGTTGTGCACTTTCAAATAGTTTCAGACTTAGGTTGACCCTGAGTGAGGGCCGGGTAAATGAGCTTGGAGGGCCGTATCCGGCCCCCGGGCCTTAGTTTGAGGACCCCTGCTTTAAGCAAAAGTGCAAGGGCTCTTATTAACTCATTTAAAAAAAATGTTATGAGACTCTTTGGAACTGAGTGAGGGAATAATGTTCCATATAAATACTTTGGCCCCCAGATATGTTATTGATGCCAACAATAACATTTCCATCTTCTCACCGACCCCTCTTTTATGATCAGGGCATGAAAAGAAAGAGACAAGGCATTGAAGCATAGTACTCATGTTGTTGTTCATTCGTTCAGTCGTCTCCGACTCTTCGTGACCTTATGGACCAGCCCACGCCAGAGCTCCCTGTCGGCCGTCACCACCCCCAGCTCCTTCAAGGTCATTCCAGTCACTTCAAGGATGCCATCCATCCATCTTGCCCTTGGTCGGCCCCTCTTCCTTTTACCTTCCACTTTCCCCAGCATAATTGTCTTCTCTGGGCTTTGCTGTCTCCTCATGATGTGGCCAAAGTACTTCAACTTTGTCTCTAGTATCCTTCCCTCCAATGAGCAGTTGGGCTTTATTTCCTGGAGGATGGACTGGTTGGATCTTCTCGCAGTCCAAGGCACTCTCAGAACTTTCCTCCAACACCACAGTTCAAAAGCATCTATCTTCCTTCGCTCAGCCTTCCCTATGGTCCAGCTCTCACATCCGTAGGTTACTACAGGGAATACCATGGCTTTGACTAGGCGGATCTTTGTTGCCAGTCTGATGTCTCTACTTTTTACTATTTTATCAAGACTGTAAGTACTATTTTATCGAGACTGTACTCATACTTGCTTGCTTATGTAAAATTAGGATGTCACATTAGTTTTCTTAACATTGACTTTAAGGCCCCTTCTACACTGCCATATAAAATCCAGATTATCTGCTTTGATAATATGGCAGTGTAGAAGGGGCTTAAGAGATTTTCACTTGGGATTTCTAAACTAGCACTGTTTTGTTCTGGGAGAGCATGGTATTTCTCAGAAACTCCCCCCATAGGTTTCTCAAAGAGACAGTGATGAAATACCACACATATTTTAAATACCAGAAAATGGTCCTTGAATGCAGAAAGTTGTATGTGACTTCCTCTAAACCAGTGGTTCTCGATGTGTGGGTCCCCAGACATTTTCGCCTTCGACTCCCAGAAATCCTAAAAGCTTTACTGGCTGGGATTTCTGGGAGTTATAGGCAATAATAATAATAATAATAATAATAATAATAATAATAATAATAATCTTTATTTATACCCCGCCACCATCTCCCCGATGGGGATTCGGAACTGCTTACATGGGGCCAAGCCTGAACAACATATTATATCAAAATTAAATGAAAACATAAATAACAAGCAACATCATCAAAATTACATGGAAGAGAAAAAAATACAATAGCAAAATAGCATTACAATAAACAAAAAATACAATCGCAGTAAACAGTGGGCGGGCCACATGTACAGTGTAAAATGTTAAAAACACTAATGAGATAATAATAGGAGCAAGTTATTTGCAGGGAGCTCATAAAGATACACAAGGTTGTTAAACTAAACTTCCCATGGGGGGGGGGGGACATGTACTCCAGTGACAGAAGCGTTGAGGGGAGCAGTAGTGTTGTGTTGTACACCTCCTTGTCAAAGGCGCAGCGGAAGAGCCAGGTTTTAAGGTTCTTTTTAAACATTCCTAGTGTAGGGGCTTTCCTGATCTCTCCAGGTAATGAGTTCCAGAGTTGGGGAGCCACAGAGGAGAAGGCTCTCTCCCTTGTGCTCACAAGACGAGCCTGTGAGATTGGCAGGGGTGAAAGGAGGGCCTCTTCCGAAGATCGAAGGGACGGGTTGGTTCATGGAGAGAGATACGGTCATGAAGGTAGGTGGGTCCCAAACTGTTTAGGGCTTTGTAGGTGATAACCTGCACCTGGGGACCCACAGATTGAGAATCACTGCTCTAAACAGTATAATATATGTATAATATGATACTTAAAATACTGGATTGAGATTGTGGAGATCCAGGTTCAATTTCTTCTGTATTCTTCTTGATCACTCTTTCACAAGGTTTTTATCAGGCTCTGATATTTAGGAAAGAATTGTGGAAGTATTGCAGTAAATACAAATCAGAAGGAGAAAAGGTGGAGGCTTGGTTTTTTTCCTTCTAAGACATCTCCTTTCTCAGGATGTCTTAGAAGGTTCCCCGTTTTCAGATAAATACATCACTGGTAATGCTTTTGAGTGGTGTTATCAGGAGAAACCAAGCCCTCACCTTTTCTCCTCCTGATAGTACCACTCAAAAGTATGTACTCTATTTATCTGAAAGCTAATGCAATGCAACCTGAGCCCTGCTACATGGAGGACCTTCTTATAGTAACACCAGAGGCACTCCAAGTGCCCAGCTACTGGTCAAAGGACATTTAATTCTATGATTCTATGAGAGGGGATATAATAGCCATGTATAAATATGTGAGAGGAAGCCACAGGGAGGAGGGAGCAAGCTTGTTTTCTGCTTCCCTGGAGACTAGGACGCGGAACAATGGCTTCAAACTACAAGAGAGGAGATTCCATCTGAACATGAGGAAGAACTTCCTGACTGTGAGAGCCGTTCAGCAGTGGAACTCTCTGCCCCGGAGTGTGGTAGAGGCTCCTTCTTTGGAAGCTTTTAAACAGAGGCTGGATGGCCATCTGTCAGGGGTGATTTGAATGCAATATTCCTGCTTCTTGGCAGGGGGTTGGACTGGATGGCCCATGAGGTCTCTTCCAACTCTTTGATTCTATGATTCTATGATTCTATAATCAACTACCAAGCTTGCAAACTTTGTGTTTTGTTTGTTTGTTTGTTAAAAAATGCAATGCAATTGTTTGGTTTGCTTCTGACACGATAAATAAATAAAATCTGAAAGCTGGGAACCTTCTAAAACATCCTGAGGAAGGGTGGGAACAAAATGTAATTTTTTTAAGTGAGGACAGCGGCAAGAAAGTTCACATGTGTCATAAGTGTGTAACTGAGCTTTATGCATTTCAAATGGAGTCTTTTATCTGTATTTTTGCAAATGTCTTCACCACATTGGCAGGTGTTGCTGTTATTCCTGTGTTGCAAAGGACTCTTCATTATGACTGTGTTGTCTTAGTGAAACAGTTTAGGCCTCCCATGGGAGCCTATTGCCTGGAGTTCCCTGCAGGTAGGTACTTCCCTTTGTTTTTGCTTGGCTCGTTTTCACATGAGCGCCTTGCTGTTTCCTCCAATGAATTACCCACAAAACAGATCGAAAGTCTTGTTGTCCGTTCAATGACAAGAGATTATAAATATACATGGGTTGCTCTAGAGTACTTTACAGCACAAGCCTAGTCCAAAGGGAGCTATTCAAAAGGACACCCTTAGTTATTTAGCTATTTAAAAGAACAACATACAGCCCAATTGATCATCTGATATGACCTGATTTAAACTTTCATTCAGGGCCTTTTAAACCATGGTTTATGAAACTAGGAATGAGCAGTTCAGCTGAGTTCTCCTTCTCTTGCTTTCTCTAATAATAATAATAATAATAATAATAATAGTAATAATAATAATAATAATAATAATAATACTTTATTTATACCCCGCCACCATCTCCCCAAGAGAACTTGGAGAGGCTTACATGAGGCCAAGCCCAACAACACATCAATAAAACAAAATACAATAAGCAAAAATAATACAATTAATATAACTCACATATAAACAATAACACGTAAGGCTTTTAAAAACCTATGGCTGGGCCAAATGTAATAGTTTAAAATTTAAAAAATAAACACTGGGCATGAACAGAGGTAGGATGTATCTGGTAGAAGGGAGAGCAACCCAACGAGTAGTTAAAGTGCTTCTGAGGACATTTAGCTGGGAATTATTTCCTTATTCAGGGAAGACACACTGGAACAGCCACGTTTTCAGGCTCCTCCTAAAGACTGTCAATGTGGGGGCTTGCCTAATATGCTTAGGAAGTGAGTTCCAGAGTTGGGTGGTCACCACAGAGAAGGCCCTCTCCCTCGTCCCCACCAATTGTGCCAGCGAAGGGGGCGGGAGCGAGAGCAGGGCCTCTCCAGATGATTGAAGAGATCGCGTGGGTCTCGCAGGTAGGCGGGTCCCAAACCGTTCAGGGCTTTGTAGATAAGAACCTGCACCTTGAATTGGGACTGGAAAATGAACGGCAGCCAGTGGAGCTCCTTAAACAGGGGAGTTGACCGCTCCCTGTAAGTCGCTCCAGTTAGTAACCTGGCTGCCGCCCGTTGTACCAATTGAAATTTCCGAGCCGTCTTCAAGGGCCAATCATGTGATGCCTTTGGTGCCAACATCTTACTCATTTTAAGTTACAATTAAGCCTGAATCATAGAATCATCCTGTTTAAGTTTAAATTATGCCTGAATCAGAGAACTTTGCCTTCATGTTCGTAAACAATCCAGGAAAGCAAAATAGGGTCATGTGAATTAGGGAGCATTCTCAGAACTGACTCAGTGTCTGCAGGTTCTCTTACATTTTATTTTTGACCATGAGGACATGTTTCCCCCCTCACTGAATGAAACAAAGGGCCAACTTTAGATATGTATGTGTATCTTAAATATTTGTTTGTATGTAAAGGATGGGAGTGGGGTGGAGTGAGAGAGCCATTGTCCTTTGGCACGGAAAAAAAACCGCAAGGAGATTACAGAAGATACCTGTTCTGTGTTTCCAGCCTCCAGTGCTTGATACATCTTTCCCCAATATCAGTGGTTCTCAACCTGTGGGTCCCCAGATGTTTTGGCCTTCAACTCCCAGAAATCCTAACAGCTGGTAAATTGGCAGGGATATCTGGGAGTTGTAGGCCAAAACACCTGGGGAACCACAGGTTGAGAACCACTGCCCTATATGGTTCACATCTGCTGTCTGGGATAGGTGGTGGGAAAACTGCTTAAATCAGCAGAGCATTAGGAGATCTGTCAAAGCACTTGAGAGGTCAAATTTCAAACACTTCTGCATCTTTCTTTTTACATGAAAAATATTTTCCCTCATCTCTATTTAAAGTCCAAATGCAAGAATATCTGCTCACAAACCTAGCCCAAGCACTTTTGTGCCGTGGCAGAAGAGCACATCCCTTCTGTGTGGCAAGGTAGATAGTACCTAAAAATGTCCATGTTTGTATAACAGTACCTTAAAATGCCCATGGTGTTTTTGTACCTGAGGCGGAAAAACCTTTACAAACTACTTCAAGAAAAAAAATCAGCAAACATATGACTTGCCCCTTTTTTCCTCATCCCTCATTTACTGTTGCATATGCAACACAGATATTCAAAAACCTGAAATAAAAAATATGGCCTCAAGCATTTTGGATAAGAGGGATTCAGCTTGTAATGTATGAAGAGACCTGGGTCTTTATACATAGAAAGGATGCTTTTCAGTAAGGAGAACACTTCGCATAGAGTTCTTATCTTTCAAACTCCATGTTACTGACCTTTTGTTACAGATTACTGCCATCCAAATATACTGTTTTGCTTTGCAGGTCTAATTGACCCCAATGAAACCCCAGAAAGTGCTGCTTTGCGTGAACTGGAAGAAGAAACAGGATATAAAGGAGACATCCTTGAATGCTCTCCGGGTAATTCTGGTCTTTTGTGTTCACGGGTTGCCTGGGAAATTATTTCATCCTTTTTATAGAGCACTTTGTAATGTTCAAGCTGGTTCATATACATTACTTTCTGATGCGAATGCCAAATGTGAAGCACATACAAAAGTTAGATTGTATGTCTGCATATACATACTGTAAAATATCTCTGTTGTGTGAGTACTGATTCTCATGCGTGCATGCAAGAAGGCAACCCCTTACAAATGCTGGATATACATTTTGATGTACCATTATATCTGTACATAAGCATATTTGACATTTATCACTGTTTATGGTTTCTGCCAAAAGAGACAGAAAGTTTCATCTATGCAGATGATCGTGCCATTACCGCTCAAGCAGGGAGCTTTGAGATGGTTGAACAGAAGCTCTCCGAAGCTCTATGTGCTCTTACTGCCTATTACAGGGAAAACCAGCTGATCCCTAATCCATCTAAAACATAGACATGTGCTTTTCACCTCAAGAACAGACAAGCATCCCTAGCTCTGAGGATTACCTGGGAAGGAATCCCACTGGAGCATTGCAGCGCACCCAAGTACCTGGGAGTCACTCTGGACCGTGCTCTGACCTACAAGAAGCACTGCCTGAATATCAAGCAAAAAGTGGGTGCTAGAAACAATATCATACGAAAGCTGACTGGCACAACCTGGGGACCATCACCAGACACAGTGAAGACAACTGCCCTTGCACTATACTACTCTGCTGCTGAGTATGCATGCCCAGTGTGGCTAAACAGTGGATGTGGCTCTTAACGAAACATGCCACATTATCACGGGGTGTTTGTGCCCTACACCACTGGAAAAATTACACTGTACATCCGCCAGGAAGTAGCAGCCAATAGTGAAAGGACCAAGGCAGTGACATCTCCAGCTCAACCCCTGTTTGGATATCAGCCAGCACGTCAACAACTTAAATCAAGAAATAGTTTTCTAAGATCTACAGAGACACTCTCTGGAACACCTCAGCAAGCGAGAGTCCAAAAGTGGCAGGCTCAAACCCAGAACCTCAATCAATGGCTGATCCCAAATGAGAGACTCCCTCCTGGGCACACAGAAAACTGGGCGCAAGGCACTGAACAGACTGCGCTCTGGCACCACGAGATTCATAGCCAACCTTAAGAAATGGGGCTACAAAGTGGAATCCACGACATGCAAGTGTGGAGAAGAGCAAACTACAGTGTGGAGAAGAGCAAACTGCTGCAATGCAACCTGAGCCCTGCCACATGCACAACGGAGGACCTTCTTGCAGCAACACCAGAGGCACTCCAAGTGGCCAGCTACTGGTCATTTAGTCAACTACCAAGCTTGCAAACTTTGTGTTTTGTTTGTATGTTAAAAAAATGCAATGCAACTGTTTGGTTTGCTTCTGACACGATAAATAAATAAATAACTGTTTATGGTATTTTTTTTATCCTATGGGACTGGAATTGGTGTGTAATGGTGAACTGTGAAGTTCAGTTGTTCATCATGATACTTCTCCAATGGCCATGTTCTAGAAGCATTTCTCCTGACGTTTCGCCTGCATCTATGGCAAGCATCCTCAGGTGAGGTCTGTTGGACTGGGAAAGGGGGTTTATATATCTGTGGAATGACCAGGGTGAGACAAAGGACTTTTGTCAGTTGGGCTAGGTGTGAATATTTCAACTGACCACCTTGATTAGCATACAGTGGGCTGACTGTGCCTGGAGCAAACGCTTCTTGAAAGGTAATTAGATGTCCCTGCCTGTTTCCTCTCTGCTGTTTTTGCTGTTGCAATTTTAGAATTTTTTAATACTGGTAGCCAGATCTTGTTCATTTTCATGGTTTCCTCCTTTCTGTTGAAATTGTCCACATGTTTGTGTATTTCAATGGCTTCTCTGTGTAGTCTTAATCAAGGTGGTCAGTTGAAACATTCACACCTAGCCCAACTGACAAAAGTCCTTTGTCTCACCCTAGTCATTCCACAGATATATAAACCCTTTTCCCCCAGTTCCAACAGACCTCACCTCTGAGGATGCTTGCCATAGATGCAGGTGAAACGTCAGGAGAAATGCCTCTAGAACATGGCCATACAGCCCGAAAAAACCCACAAGAACCTAATGACTAAAGGTAGTTTACAACAAAGTTCAAACAAGATCGAACTAAAATTTTGATTTAAAAAATTGAGATTAAAACAACATGCATTTTAAAGGTGTAAAATCATTTTAAATATATCAAAATAGCATTTTCCTGCATGGAAAAGACAGTTCTGGAATTAATCATCCAATGTCTCATTAAATAAAAATGTATTTACCTACCCATGAAAGCAGATTTGGGGGTGGGTGCAGTCAAGCTTCCCATGTGAGGGAATACCACAGCTTGGAAACAACAATAGATTGCTGCTATGAAATCAATTTTTCTCCCATTCACTGTGATAGCTGAAGTAGACTTAGAAGGAAGTTGTGCTGTCCCTGGAATCTCTTGCTGGTCTCCCATTCAAGACTTTTTTTCTCCTGAAACTGGATGGGATTGTTTTATGTTGAAGTAGTTAGAAACCTGTTGAACCCCTAGGTAGTAAAGGCAGGATATAAATCTAACCATAAATGCTGGTATAAAATTATGCATTAACTAGCCGTCCCCTGCCACGCGTTGCTGTGGCCCAGTCTGTGTATATATGTTTTGTGTGTTTATATATGTGTGTATATATTTCTGTATATGTGTTTGCGTATATATATGTGTGCGCGCGTGTGTGTGTATATATATATGTGTGAGTATATATTTGTGTATTTATATGTGTACATGCAGATTGTGTATATGTGTGTGCTTGTCTATATGCATATTTGTGTGTATATGTATATATGTGGATATGTATGTGTGTGCATGTATATATGTATGTGTGCATGTATATGTGCATGTGTATATATGTATGTATATCTATGTGTGTATATGGGTATATTTGTGTGTGTTTGTGCATATATGTGTGTGTGTGTGTGAATGTGTGCATGTGCATATGTATATGAGTGTTATGTGTATATGTATATATGGTGTATTTTTTGGATTTTTAAGTCTGTTCCACTGACTTTTGTGTGCATGTGTTTATGGGTGATGGACACTTGTTGGCCTAATATGTGTATTGTGTCCAAATTTGGTGTCAATTTGTTCAGTGGTTTTTGAGTTATGTTAATCCCACAAACAAACATTGCATTTTATTTATATAGATAAATGCAGGGAGTGAAATTAGGAAGGTCTTTGGTTTAAAGGTATCTTCAGGTACCAGGTTTCTTGCTTCAGGAAATAATTGAACCATGATGATCCTTTCTCCTAGCTTTATGTCTGGATCCTGGCTTGACGAACTGCTCATCACACATTGCAACAGTCACCATTAATGGAGATAGTACCCTCAATTTGAAGCCCAAACAAAAACCTGGTGAGTCTGTTGCTTGAAAGAGTGTTAGCAGGCTCAACATTTTATTAGGATCCAATGAATTTTTATTGGTTTTAATGTGTATGTGGCTTGGCGGGGGCATCATGTAATTCTTGTTTATGAAATTGTTGATATAGATGAAAAAAATGAAACCATGATATAAAATGAGCTGTTAGTGCCGTTTTGTCTACTTCAGATTATAAGGGACATGTATGTAATGTATCATGTTTCTTAATTTGCCATGTATATTAAAAACATCCCTAGATACAGCAAATTATCATGTGAACCATTCATTTTGATATGTCCTGATGATCTTCACTAAGCTTGTTAAACAACTGATCCGCATGCCCTATAAACTGAACTTGAATATTCAGAAGAATCTGGCCAACTCAGGTAGCATTACAAACACAAATGTTACTAAACGAAATAAAAGAGTAGGGCTGGAATTGCCTAGTAGTTTTATGCATCAAAGTTCAAAATTGGGCCTTTTTAAAAAGTCTTAAAGATGGGATAGAGCAAAATTATTTCATGGAAGCAATATATCAGAGGTTGATGTTTTCAGGAGTATTGCTGAAATGATACTCCAGAATGAAATCTTATAACAGTACTGGCTCTTCCGCTGCGCCTTTGGAGACTAGGTATACAATCCCACACTACTGCTTAGCCTCAATGTTCTGTCATTGGAGTATATGTCTCCCCCCCCCCCCTCTGTGATTCCTCAACCCCCGCTATAATGAGCTCTCCTCTGCAAATAATCTGTCTCTTTTTATCTCGCCCGAGTTTTAAATTAGTTTTAATTAGTCTCTCTTTTAATCATTACATGCAGCCCGCCCATTGTCATTGTGCTTGCATCCATTGTAATTTTATATCGTTATGTATTTACATGTATTATGATGTTGCTGTTTACTGTTCGCATTTTCGGTTGTGTTTTGGTTTTATTGTAATTTCTTGTTCGGGCTTTTTCAGGATTTTTCTCCAGGATACAAGCCACCCCGAGTCCCCACTGGGGAGGTGGTGGCGGGGTATAAATAAAGATTATTATTATTATTATTATTATTATTATTATTATTATTATTTCTTATAGCTGAAAGAATGACATATTTAACTTCTGTTGTGTTTCTGCTTTTGTTTCTTTCATACAGAGGAAGGAGGTACGTTATCTGGGTAAATTCACTATGGTTGGGATCACAGATAAGTATACTAGATCTTGAGATGGTGTGTGCCTCACTAAAAACCTGGAATATTTATTTTTGTGTGTCACCTGAGCTCCAGGAGTATGCAATGAAATACTAAGAGGGGAGGTGGTCTGGGAGTGGTTAAAATAAGCAGTCTTTTCCTGCTTCTTCTAGAGCAGGCATGGGCAAACTTCAGCCCTCCAGGTGTTTTGGACTTCAACTCCCACAATTCCTAATAGCCAGTAAGCTGGCTGGGATTTCTGGGAGTTGAAATGCAAAACACATGGAGGGCCAAAGTTTGCCCATGCCTGTTCTAGAGCAGTGGCTCCCAACTTTGGTTGTTCAGTTGTTTTGGACTTCCAACTCCCAGAAATCTCAGGCAATTTACCAGCTGTTAATTATTCTGGGATCTGAAGTCCAAAACTCTTGGAGGAACAAAGTTTGGGAACCACTATTCTAGAGAGCTTCTTCCCCTCAAGGATGATGTTCAGGAAAGGAATATATAATCTATTCTCATTTTGGTTGGCTGTTTAAGAGGGTCCAGCAGAGACTGTATAACCTGAAACTTCTAAGGAACCAACAACTGAATGAAAAACTTCTGGTGACTTTCTACCACTGTGCTATGGAGTGCATCTGTGTGTGGTTACCGCTGCACAGTGGCAGACGAGAAGATACTCCAAACGGTCACTACTTCACAGGGAATCATTGGTTGCGCTCTCCCCTCTTTGGAAGAACTTTATAGGTCCCACAGCCTTAAGAAAGCTCAGCACATTCGGGGATTTATCTCACCCAGCATAACTGCCTTGAGTCTCCCTGGGGAGATAGGGCAGGTTATAAATAAAGTTTGATGATGATGATGATGATGATTATATTTCTTTTTTGAATTATTGCCATCTGGCAGACGGTACAGAGACAAGGACAAACTGAGAGATAGCCTTTAGGCTATGTGTGTAAGGCATACATGAAGCATAAATGAATTTTATGTTTAGATTTGAGTCCCATCTCCAAATATCTCATTATGTGTGTATATATAAATATAACTATAAATACTCCACAATCGGGAAAACATACAAATTAATGCTTGTTCTTTTGGATAAGAAATACTTCATCTGTACTATAAGAAGTGTCGTGTAACAGTTCTCAGGCTTCCTTCTGGATTACGGTTTTCAAAAATGCTTGAGCAGGAACAGGAATAATTTTGAATTTAGTTTCACTTTTCCAGCATAGTATTTATTTATCATGTCAAGGGCAGACCAAACCGTTGCATTGCATTTTTTAACAAACAAAACACAAAGTTTGCAAGCTTGGTCCTTTGACCAGTAGCTGGCCACTTGGAGTGCCTCTGGTGTTGCTGCAAGAAGTTCCTCCATTGTGTATGTAGCAGGGCTCAGGTTGCATTGCAACAGATGGTTCTGTAGTTTGCTCTTTTCCACACTCGCATGTCATGGATTCCACTTTGTAGCCCCATTTCTTAAGGTTGGTTCTGCATCTCATGGTGCCAGAGTGCAGTCTGTTCAGCGCCTTCTAAGTCGCCCAGTTTTCTGTGTGCCCAGGAGGGAGTCTCTCATTTGGTATCAGCCATTGATTGAGGTTCTGGGTTTGGGCCTGCCACTTTTGGACTTTCGCTTGCTGAGGTGTTCCAGCAAGTGTCTCTGTAGATCTTAGAAAACTATATATTGATTTAAGTCGTTGACGTGCTGGCTGATATCCAAACAGGGGATGAGCTGGAGATGTCACTGCCTTGGTCCTTTCACTATTGGTTGCTACTTCCCGGCAAATGTCAGGTGGTGCAATACCAGCTCCAGCATAGTGATATAAAGTCAGTGAGTTCTAAAAAAAGCTCACCTGCAAATTGATGATAGTTTCTATGAACAGAAGGTCTCACAATTTGACCCACATATCTTCCAAATAAGATGTTATACTTGCAAAAAAATTCTATGGTTCTGGAGTAGTTTTCACAATGGCCCAATTGAATTCACAGTAGAAGGGTCTTTGCTGGCATTGAGGTTCCTCCAGACTATTTTAACTGGCAACAGAAATAAAATCTGGGATATAGTGTAAACCTTGACCCTGACATCATCAATGTTCTTCTACTGTTATAATTATTAACATCTTTGCTTAATGAGGAATCCAGTGGAGCTTTGAAAACCTGCATGGTGTTTTATGGTTTGTAGTTGGTCCAATAAAGGTATTGTAAATGTTGCACATAAGAGGCACAGTCATGTTGGCCTATTGTAAACATGTCACACAGGGTAGCCATTTTTTTTTCTGAGTTGCAAAATCTTTGATGCTTTTTTAAAAAGAGTATTTTTATAGAACACTAGCTGTAGCCGGCCACGCATTGCTGTGGCCCATTGTGGAGAAATGGGAAAGAAAGAAAGAAAGAAAGAAAGAAAGAAAGAAAGAAAGAAAGAAAGAAAAGAGGAAGAGCTGGTTTCTATACTATCAATGCACAACTGAAGTGGCAAAGTGTCAAACTAATATAGGCCCATCTCAGTCTCCTCGAGGCCAAAAGGTTATATGGATATGTGGAAGGGCCCTGGGTTACCTGAGACCACACTGCCATATAACCCAGTTCAAAGATATTACATAGGTATTATTATTATATTATTATGGATGTATACATATTATTATAGGCATGTAGATATTATTATTATAGACACAGATATTATTATTGGCATATAGGTAGTATTGGGTGTCGTTTTAACGCATGCTCTGTATAGCTATTTAGTTTTGTGGCAGATGAAGTTTTTTCCGGTTATTTTATGTTTTGTTTTGTTTTGTGTGTGTGAGTGTGTGAAGGTCATAGATTGTTTCATCATTGTTTGAGTCCACAGTGATCTCTGGATGTAGGTGAACTACAACTCCAAAATTCAAGGTCAATATCAACCAAATCCTTCCAGTATTTTCTGTTGGTCATGGGAGAACTATGTGCCATGTTTGGTTCAAGTCCATCGTTGGTTGGGTACAGAATGCTCTTTGATTGTAGGTGAACTATAAATCCCAGCAACTACAACTCCCAAATGACAAAATCAATTTTTTGAGTGAAGGACATACATTTGGTTGTTAGGTGTCTTGTGTTCAAATTTGGTGTCAATTCGTCCAGTAGTTATTCAGTTCTGTTAATCCCACAAACGAACATTACATTTTTATTTATATAGACTAGCTGTCTCCTGCCATGCGTTGCTGTGGCCCAGTCTGGTGATCTGGAAATTAAAGTAATGAGAAAGTGTTGGGTTTCTGCTTGTAGGTAAACAGTATTTCTTGCTGTTTCTTTGTCAGTGTTGATGTGGAGATTGTCTGGTTTGCCTACTCTGGAACATGCAACATATAATTGTCCTTTAGGAGTCCCTTTCAAATCTATGATACTATATCGGTCTGTGTCTGTGTGTGTCATATAGATCTATCTATATCTATGGCTGGATGGCTCTTTGTCAGGAGGGCTTTGATTAAGTTTTCTTGCCCTCGTGAAGGGAGTTGGATGGCCTTAAGTATTTTCTGTTAGTCATGGGGGTTCTGTGTGGGAAGTTTGGCCCAATTCTGTCATTGGTGGGGTTCAGAACACTTTGATTGTAGGTAAACTATAAATCCCAGCAACTACAACTCCCAAATGACAAAATCCATTATTTTTTTTTAGTGAAAGACATACATTGGTTTGTTAGGTGTACCATGTCCAAATTTGGTGCCAATTCCCTCAGTGGTTATTGAGTTCTGTTAATCCCACAAATGAACATTACATTTTTATTTATATAGATTGGACAAATGATTGAATGTTTCTTGACCTTCCCCTTTTTCCCTCTCAGAATTTGTCGAAGTTGTCACACTACCAAAGAACGATTTATTGCAAAGAATTGAAGGTAAGCACAACCATGGATGAAAAACCTCCCATAACATTTTGCTTTGTTTTCTCCATTGTAACAAGACCATAATGTACTTGCTTAGGTTAAAAATAGTTTGGCATTTTATAAACTAGTTTTTTCTTCGTGGTCTCTGTGAATGCACACTTGTGGAGAGACTGCACCTGTGCGGGCTCCAACAGAAACTTCTCTAGTTTAAACTTTTCAAATTTTGGCGGTAACCCCGCCCAGCCCCGACAGGGCATAAAAAGGCGCCCCGCGCGCACCCTCGCAATTCCTTTTTTTTTTGCCCCAAGGCTCACTTCGGTACTTCTGAAATGTCAACAACCAGATTTAAACACTGCACGCAGTGCTAGAAGAAAATCCCTGACTCCGACAAGCATTCCTTGTGTCTTCTCTGCCTCAGCGAGGCACATATCGCTGATTCCTGCCGTCACTGCCGAGCGCTGACGGCACAATCCCGGAAAAACGGGATGCATCGTCTTAGGTACCTACTCTACCAATACTTTTGATTCCAGTACCTTCGACATCGACGGCTCGACCATTGACATCGGTGTCAACTTCGCGACCGTCGACATCGACAGTGGCATCGATCTCCCAACCGGTCGACCTGCCAGCTCAGCCTGCAACTCGCCAAACGATGGTGAAGAAAGCGGCCCAGAAGAGGCCCAGGGCGACCATGTCAACGACCTCGAAAACCACGAGGCCGACCAAGCAGGCCGCAAGACCGTGCACAGTGACTACTGAAACTGTACGAGTGCGCCACTCCTCCACCAGCTTCGGTGAGGTCGGCTCGATCCACGAGGTCAACATCGGCAACTCCGCCTTCATCCATGGCGGTTCGTATTGCCTTCCGCCGGGCTCAAGAAGAGTCTCGATGTGCTGCTACTTCCTCCTCCTCTGTCCCTCCTACGCCGGGCAAGTCACTCTTGAAGTTGACATCGACCCAACCCCCGGCGAAAAAGAAAAAGACAATGCCACCCCCTTCCTCGGCTTCGTCCTCACGAAGAGCAACCACAGCCTCCTCGGCCACTTCGTCACTGAGGTCTTCGCCGATACAGTCAGCCCAACCGGTGCCACTCCCTCAACCAACGCAGGAGGAGCAAATGCCAACAGAGGTGCCTGTAGAGCGGCCAGAGTCCCCAGGGGTCTCGGTAGAGACGGTGATAGAGGCACCCGTTCATTCTGTGACTGCTAGACAGGAGCTTTTCCCGCCCGCGGGGGCATCGGAGAGAGGGAGACAAATAGCGAGATTGGCGCATGCTGCCCAATCTTCGGCATCCAAACAACTCCCGGTCGCATCGTCGGTGCCGCCACCCCAACCCACACGAGACCATTCCTCATCCTCTCCCCCTCACTCGGTAGCCGGGGAAGAAGAGGAAGATGGTGAGATTCTGGCATCAGTCCATTCGGGCTCGGTACTGTCCCTCGGGATCGAGAGGTCACCTACCCATGATGCCTATGAGGCCGATCCTCCGTCGCCAACAGACAATGTGAGGGCCTTCGCCGACCAAATGGCCCACATGGCGGAGACTTTGGGCTTAGAGGTAAAACACACCTCCAAACCGGTGACCGACCCAGTTTTTAAGCGGGTGCAGTCTGAATCCCCACCGGCCCCTCTCCTGCCTTTCCTGCCTTATCTCCTCGATGTCATCCAAGGTTCCTGGAAGACCCCTTCCTCCATCCCCCTGACTTCTAAGAAGATCGAGACCTGGTATCAAACTGACGATGAAGGCCTTGAATGGCTAAAGACCAATCCCGACCCAAATTCGGTGGTCGTGAAAGCCGCCCAAGCATTTGGGAGACAATCTTCCACCCCTTCGGACTGAGAAGGAAAGTGGTTCGACGCGGTAGGCAGAAAACTCTACTCCGGCGCCCTCTTGCTGGCCAGGATGGCTAACTATGGCGCGTGCATGGGGGCCTACTAGCAAATCCTCTGGGAAAAGGCGATGTCCCCCTCTCAACAAGTCTTGAGTTATGGCGACTACTTCTTTTAAGAAGTGCACCAGATGCCCTAATATTTTACCAGACACCGATGGGCACACCCTTTGCCTTACTTGTCTAGGAGAGGCCCATCTGACTCAATCCTGTGCCATATGCCTCTCCTTCACTCCTCAAACGAGGAAGAACAGGGTGTCCAGGCTCAGGGCAGCCCTCTATGAGAGGACCCTAATGCCTTCCTCCGCCGCGGCCCAATCCACTGAGCGCTCAGACCTACCTTTTCTGACTTCTTCCAGCGGCCCGGCTAAGGAGAAGGCCAAGAGGCCCAAGCCCAAAGAGGCTCAAGATGGCCACCATGCCTCCACTCAGGAGAAGGTCTTGGGAGAAAGAGCGGGAAGAGCATTGGAGCCCCGCCGCGCCGCTGTGCCAACGCCGGAAGGCCTGGATGGAACCGCGCGCCCCCTACAGGCGGCTGAAGTACCTTTGGCGGCTCCCTTGACATTGATTCCTTTGTCTGCGCATGCGCCCGCTATGGCGCAAACTTGCCAGACTCCTCCCACCGCTGCGATGCTGATCGTCTCACTCCCGCCTCTTAGCCGGGCTCGGGAATCCCCGATGCCGACGGACTCGGCGGGGACTGTTGCTGCGGCCTCAGTGCCTCTACCCTTGCTGCCAGCCCCCCTGTCGGAGGGAGCCTTCACAACTCCACCCCCGTCGGGGCCGAGTGAAGCGGCCGAGGAGAATCCCCATCGCGCCCAGCTGGAAGGAGCTTTTTGGGGAAGGAGCTCTCACAGGGCCGGTGTCGGCGCCTCCCAACCAAGGTTGGCCACAGCGCTCGGTGCATCGCCGCAGCGCTAGGCCTAGAAGATCGAGATCTCTATCTAGAAGGAGTGGGAGGTCACGTCACCGACATCGGTCGGCCTCCAGGCATTCGCGCTCCTCCTCGACCTCCTCATCCTCATCATCCTCTTGCTCGTCAGCTTATTCCAGGAGGAGCAGGCGATCTCGGGCCTCAAGATCTTCTCGATGGCATCGCCCTTCTATGGCCCCTCCTCCCTGTCCAGGGTTTTGGCAGATGGGCCCTTCAGGCCAAATGGTGTTCGTGCAGACTCCCTTGTGCCTCCCATGCCTATATCCTCCTTCCCAGCGTCAGTGACAACAGGGGTTCTGCCCTCTCCAGCTGCCTGTCCCTCGACATCGATTGCCCAGCCTTCCACCTCCTTTCAACATGTTCCAGTGAGAGCTCCTCCTTGCGGAGCCTCCTTTGTGTTAGCCTCTGATGACTCAAATTTGCGTAATGTGTCATCTGTGCCAACCTCATCTCGACCTCCACCGGCGATACCTACCTGTGGTCAGGACGGACTGCCCGGGGACAACGCCACCACTCTGGCTGTTTCACAAGCCAACTTACAAGGTGATTCCACCCCCATGGGACCATCCAGGGCACCCTTGCCTGAAGGCTCTGAACAGAGAGCTGCTGAGCTGGATAGCACTGACTCTGATCAAGAACCATTGGATAATGCTCAAGCTGGGGAGGGGGAAAATGCTTCATTTATCCACCCTGCTGAGGTCAATAAATTTGCGGCGCTCATTGATAGAATGATAAAGGCTCTAGACATCCCTGCCCCCAAGCCTTCCGAGCATGTGGAGGACCCCATGTTTCCGTCAGAGGAGCAGGTCGTAACCCCCACATCTCCTCTACCCGTCCTTCCCTACCTCCTGAAATTGGCGAAAGTGTCTGATATGTCCCCTTCCTTGGTCCCGGCTGTTCCTCGGCGTCTGGACTTGTTGTATAAAATTGATGTGGCATCGGCAAAATGGGTCACAGCCCCTCCTAAACCAAACACTGTGGTGGCCGAGGTGGCAAAGACCAAACGACCCAAAAATTCACTTACCGCCCCCCCCCCCGACAGGGAGGGTAAGAAGGTTGACGCTCTGGGAAGAAAAGCCCACCTCTCGGCAGGGTTATTCACCAGGATAGCTCATTATGTCACCTATGCCAGCGGCTATCAGACCTTCCTATGGGGAAAAATGTTACAGTACATTGAGTTGTTACCGGCCGACCAGCAACGTTTCCCTAGAGCATTGCAGGCAGAGGCGCTTGCATTGTCTAAAATGCAAAAGGACTCGGCTAAACACATGGCCGAGGCCGCAGGCAACCTATATTCTACCACAACTTCACTAAGGAGGCACGCATGGCTGCGTGCTTCAAACTTATCCGAGGAAGGGAAGGCCCTCGCGGAGGACCTCCCTTTCCACGAGGATGGTCTTTTCAATCCGCAAACGGATGATAGACTGAAACAGAAGCAAGACGTCAGGCGGGCAGCGGGCAAATTCGGATATGCCTGGCAGCCTTATCCCCAACAGCGTCAAAGGTGGAACTTACCTTCCTCTGGCTTCCGTAGGAACTACGGTAACCCCTATGGGAATTCCTTTAGAGCTAGAAACAATAACTCTTCCAGATTCCAGGACTCGGCTAAACACATGGCCGAGGCCGCAGGCAACCTATATTCTACCACAACTTCACTAAGGAGGCACGCATGGCTGCGTGCTTCAAACTTATCCGAGGAAGGGAAGGCCCTCGCAGAGGACCTCCCTTTCCACGAGGATGGTCTTTTCAATCCGCAAATGGATGATAGACTGAAACAGAAGCAAGACGTCAGGCAGGCAGCGGGCAAATTCGGATATGCCTGGCAGCCTTATCCCCAACAGCGTCAAAGGTGGAACTTACCTTCCTCTGGCTTCCATAGGAACTACGGTAACCCCTATGGGAATTCCTTTAGAGCTAGAAACAATAACTCTTCCAGATTCCAGGGCGAGCATCGGGGCCCCTACTTCCCGAGGCCCTGTAACCAAGCCTTCGGCAATAAGTCCAAAACCCAACAAGGGCCCAAGAAGCGCCTTTGACACACTGGCCCCCGAAATTGCCCAAGTGGTCTGAAGTGGTTCTGCCTGTTGCAGTTAATTCGGATTCCGTTGTTCAGGCCACCCCGCCTGCAGTTTCCTTCTGTTTGGAGACAGGTTATTGCCATTCCAGCAAGCTTGGTCCAGCATCACCA